AAAATAAATAGTAACTGAAGTGAAAAATCAAACCAAGTTGAAGCTAGCTTTAATATATACCCAGGATATTATGGAAGTAATCCTTTGAGGCATAGAGTATTAGGTAGTTGATATATCAATGTTTAACTGTTTAAGAAACAAATAATTTTTGAAAACAAACAGTATAAAGATAAGTATAAATACGAAAGAAAACAAAGCAGAAGGAATGATTTTCGAATGAGGACGTCTGCTGATAAAAGACTCCATTAAAATCCAAAGGCAGTGGGGATGCACTTGGACTCAAATGCAGTTAACTTGATGTATCATATTTTTCAAACAGCATATTCCCATTCACTTCTGGTTGGAGAAACATACGTTACAATTTTTATTTTTATTTTTTTCGATAAATTCTAAATATAATATTAATCATACCTAGAGGGAAGGGAGAAGAGAACGTTAAGAGAAAGAAGGAAAATGCTCATAGTGATTCTAGAACTCGTAACTTAAAAAAATATTTAAAAAATAAAAATGAATAATTTAACCAACTGACCAAATATGCCTACTCTCGTTACATTTTTAATCAAAATAAAGATTACACATATATAAATTGAATGGTACGATAGTCTATAAACAAATGAACGGGTTAAAGTGTTTTAAGGTTTAATTCATATAAATTTATCTATTTTAGAGTTTGAGAGTTTAATTTTAGAGTTCAAAATTTACTTTTTGCAATTAAAATTAGAGATTAAACTTTCAAATTTTAAAATCTAAAATTAAAGGGTAAAAATATGTGAGTCTCGACTGAAACATTTCGACTTCCTTACTTTTGATCTCTAATCCGTGGACATCGAAACAAGTTCCGACAAAATAGAGGTCGGATTCGAACTCAGGTTGTCGAGGCAAAACAACTCATGAAATTTGAGACCAAACGACCACCATCTATGGCGATTGACGGAATGGATGTCTACCTTCTATATTTATTTTATATTAAATAATAATAATAAAAATGTCACATCATATGAAAATAATAATAAAATAATCCAAAATAATCAAAACATGAGCAACTCGAAAATTAAGTGAGTAAATTAGAAAAATCAAAAGTATAATGAGTAAACTAAGAGAGAGAGTAAAGTTTAATAAAAATTGGTGTAGTTTACCCAAAACTAAAATAAACATTGTGTATAAAATCTTGTGCATCAAATAATAACCCAAACCATTAAAGAAATGCATACAAGCCCATGAAGGTTATTGTCATGGGCTATACAAACTGAAACAATTGACCCAGCACTCGCATAGTGGACGGGTTGTTCTTTTTGCTGCTGCTTCGATTAAGGCAATATTAATGCATTTTCATTTATTGTTTAGAAATGTTTTTGGTATTGTAAATAGGAAAATTAATGATGTTGAGAAGGAAAAGTAGAAGATTTTTTTATTTTATTTTATAATAAAAGGTAACGAGTTTGATTCTTACGGTTGACCTTCGTCAAAAATGTGCTTAAGATTAACCATGCACCTCGGTCTAGATGTAAATTCACTTTGCTTCCATCTTAATAACAGTTTGAAATGATCTCTTGACTGCAAGATTATAGGTTCCACAAGATTACAACTAGCTTAAGTTTTGTTATTTTTCTTTCGAATAATATAAAATGATTATAAAATAATATATATTTAATCCTGAATTCGTTAGGTTTAATAGAGCTGATGGATATGTTGGCTGGTCGGAGAAAACATCAACTTGTGATGCTAATCATAAAACATGATATATATATATATATATATATATATATATATATATATTTGCATTCTTGTGGTTAAAGCTGAGATTTGTTGCTTTTGTTAGTCAAATAAATATATGCAATTTGGGTTGGGATTGTTTATGCATCTTCAATCAAAACAAGCATAGACATGGTCTGTCTTTACCTTTTCAATCAAAATGAAATAGATTGAGTTTTACCATTTTAGTCTCCACGTATTGTAAGGAGAATTATTGTAATTAAAAAAGATGTATTTGTTTGAAAGAAAGAGAGAAAGAAAAGAAGTAGGGCCAAATGATGTAAAAAGCAGAAAGCAAAAAGCCGAAACTTAATTTTCTTTAGGCGTAGGGGGTGGGGAAAAGCATACTTCCCCCTGCCTGTCCCTTTTACTTTTCAGAATAGATTGGAGTTTGAATGAAATACTCAAATTCCAGCCCAACTTTGATTACCAAATTATAAACGGCTGATATGTCAAGCCACTATGAGCTCAACCAAGGAGATCATTAAGATTTTGGACTCGAATTCAAACACAAAGTTGAGCCAAGATCCAACGAATAAATACAAAAAAATGACCATGTTTTGGCTGACGTTAGCCATGAATGATTAAAGTAAGATCATTGCAAGTGCGTTCTCTGCATGTATCCACAACCATTGAAACCCAAATAGGAGCTGAGTCTATGGGAAAAGTTAACCAAATGAAGAAGACCAAGGATCGATCCTCGTCATCCATAGATTGCATCTTTCCACATTAATGTACGTTCAAAACCCTAGAAATGATCTCTTTCAAGTTTAAAAAACACTGGGAACTGCATGTATCTTATAGCTTCTCTTTCGGAGCTAAAAGGCAATTGCTAGCCTTAAAAGCGATAGTGTAACTGTAGAATCTTCTTCTTGTTGTCAGAGTTTTCATGTGCAATTATTATGAGGTAAAAGTTTCGGTCAATCTATTTTATTTTCTCGAATACGATTTACTTTGTGCTAAAAAGGGAGGGAGCTGGCGTCTTTGCGAGGAGTCGAAATCCAAAACTAGTCGCGCTGCCACATATATCTCAGTGTTTTTTGAGTTTTTGACAGAGCAGATAAGGTACTATGTCTACTCTTTTCTGCACCGTGGGTATCCATTGTCGTATGACCTCATCCTCCTCTTAACGATGCATCCCTGCAAAACCCTAAAGTAAATATAATTAAACAATGTTGTAGATTTTTATTTCACCTGTTATATAAGGGAGGGTTTGATTAATTAATTCATATATTTTATACGCGTATTTGCATTTCTTTTATGAGGATGAATGTGTTAAAGCTGCAAATTTGCTTCCTTTCGAACCATAAAACCAGTGGGACAGGAGGGGTAGCCTTTGCCTCAGCTTTTGATTATGGAAATTGAGGGTAGTCTGTTCAAATGATAGTCCAATAAAATAGACATTAAAATTTTACGTGGAAAGAAGAGTAATTAAAATTAAATAAAGTAAAAATCTACTTTAATAAAATTATGTACTTTTGCTCAAACTAGGAATAAGTTCAAATTGAGAACATTTTATCCATTTCTTCCACGAAATCCCAAGAGATATCCCTCAACAATGATAGCTAACTGAATCCAATGTTTGCCGAAACTTGGATTTAGCCTTCAAATTGATAAGAAAATTATAAATGCTAAATTCGCTCACAACTTATTCACTACAAGCAATATCTTGCACAACACCATTCTGATCATCAATGACAATTCTATCTTTTCCGTTATACTTACAGAACTAAATTTTCTTCATCTCAAATCTGTTATACCCCACATAACTAAACTCTCTTTTTATTCTCAAATTCATTATGCCCACGGAATAAAATAATTTTCTGCTTCCAAAATCGTTATGTCCACTGTTGTTTTGTTTAACACAAAAATCATCCTTTATCGTGAAGGAAAACATAATATTTCATCTTCTATAATTGTAAATAACGACATGCATAATGATCGTCCAATAAAATATTGGAAAACCCAAAAGGAAAAACGGGACAGAGGAAGAGAAAATTCACTAATGTCAAGAGAAGAAAAATATAAGAAGAGTCCTCATAGATAATTTAATCTCTAACCCTAACTCTTGGTATCTATTTATAAGAATAGATAGTTGATTACAAAAAAAACTAAATAAGTAGAAATATACTTTAATGCAGTTATGATTTCCAAATTTAAATACGAATCAAACTCTAACATTAGAGAATTGGATTCCAGGGCCATCAAATTCCATTTCTTGTAAGCTTTACTTAATATTCAATGTTTTAAATCAAATAATGCACTTGTGTACATGCATGAAAAGCAAAAAATAAAAAATAAAAGCTAAAGAGATTGAATAATTAATGGCAATCAAACAAAACTACATGCACGTGGGAGATAAACTATAATACCACTCAAGAACTATACCTATAAAGCAATGACCATTTTTTAGATGCTTACCTATATCAGAGTAATAATATATATATAATCATGATCAGTCTTGTTGTTGCATTTCTAAACATAATAAAGTATATATAGAAACCGAGATTCCTTGTTGAAGAATATGATTATTGAAACAACTACAGTTTAGCCAAGCTATAGCTTAAACAAGGGTGAGGGAAAATAGGCTAAATGTCGGTGCTTAATTATGAATGATTATATGTTATCCTTTATAAATATGCATACATAAGTTGCCCAAAAGTAAAATCAAATGTATAATGAAGGCTTTTTTTTGGGGTTAAAAAGCCGATCATGTTTCCAATGAAAAAAGGACCAGTATATGGAACTCGAGAATTTACAAGTGTAATAAAATATTAATATATTATTAGCCAATATTTATAATTTGGAAAAGAAATAAACACAGATAAGTATGATTTGAGCATTGGATTCTTTAAACGAAAGATTGATATATATATATATATATATATATATATATTATTAGCCAATACATATTACATTTCTTGAATTTAAATTCAAAATAGAATGATAAATATTAATATAAATGATAGAATAGATATAAAAATATAAAAAATATATATATATGATTAATTTTTTTTATCTTAGATTTATCCTGGGGGATCCTATCATATGATAACAATGAAATAGTGAACGTCTTTTCTTGCTCGTAAGGATAGATTTCTTTTTTAGAGCACTAAAACCTTTAATCAATGCGAGAATAATGAAGAAAGGAAGCTTATAAGAGAAGAAAAAGCTTCATCCACTCGAAACCCTAGTAATATAATAAAACAAAAAGGAGTGATGAGAGAATAACTAAGGAATAATAAACAAACAAAAATCATCTCCTTCTCCCTACCCCCATCTCTTTAGTTCTCTTTTCTCTTTGATTTCCTGGCCTCTGGTACTCTCCTCTATGATTCGCCACCTTATTTTTGCTAAAGAACCCAATCAACCTTTTGTAAAAGGAGAGGAAAAAGAAGCATAAAATTAACTATGGTTTTCCCATCTGTTCCAGTTTATTTAGATCCTCCAAATTGGCAGCAGGTAAGGGTTTTTTGTTCTCTTTTCTTTTTTTTTTTCATCAGTTTCTATCCACAGCTTAAGCACCCAAGATAAAGCTAATTGCAAAAAGATAAATATTCGTATCCCTTTTGAGATATTTTCCTGAATATACCTAGTGTTTTCTTTGTTGTGTGTTTTCAGCAGCTGAATCATCAACAAGTAGCTACCAGTGAAAATCTTCCGCTTCCACTTCTTCGTACAGCTCCTAATTATCATGCTGGAGCTGGTGTTGATAGTTCCATTAGGGTTGGTTCGATGGCCGATCGAGCCAGGCTAGCCAAGGTTCCACAACCAGAAGCACCACTGAAATGTCCACGGTGTGAATCCACCAACACCAAGTTTTGCTACTTCAATAACTACAGCCTAACACAACCACGTCACTTTTGCAAGACTTGTCGACGTTATTGGACAAGAGGAGGGGCTCTTAGGAATGTCCCTGTGGGTGGAAGCGGCCGAAGAAACAAGAAGAAGAAAAGCAGCAGCAGTAGCTCAAAACCCACAGCTTCTTCCGAGAGGCAAAGTGGTCCAATTTCAACCAATGCTGTTATTCCCTCTGAAAGCACTGCTCATCTGCCGCATCAAACAACACCTCACTTACCTTTTATGTCTTCTCTGCAAAGCTTTTCTCAGTATGGTATAGGAAATATCGGCGTAAACTATGATGGAATTCAAGGCCGAGTGGGCCTAATGAGTGGCGCTAATGGGCAAGCTGATACCGGGTTTCAGATAGGAACCAACTCGGACATGAACCATGCTATTTTATCAGTAGGATCAGGGAATCATCAGGACTTCTCGTTCTTCGAGCCAACTAATAGCTTATATCCTTTACAGTGTGAGTATATGGAAGCATCACCTTCGATGGTGGGAGAAACCCAGCTTCTTCGCTCCACGAGTTCAAGCTCTAGGGTTTCACAGCGAGCTCCAGTGAAAATGGAAAACAACAGTCAAGAGCTAAATCTATCAAGATCATTGTTTGGTATCTCGGATCAGACTAATCAGTATTGGGGAGGAAACAATTGGATGGATTTATCAGGTCTCAAGTAATCATCTCTTATAGCTATAGTTTCAATCTTTCCTGATAGACAGCAGCTTAAAGCTGGTCTTGAAGTTTCAGCGGCTTCATTTCCAGCTTTAATAACAGATGATAGTTGCCATAAAGTATCATTGTTCCTTATCACACTGACTCCTTCACAAGCCCCAAGTCTCCAACATCAAAAGCTAAATAATGGATGGTTCATTGTGGAACTTACCTCTCGTCGTCGTCATCATCTTCTTCCTGTCTAAGAAACAACAAATATTCGTAGAACTAATGTTGTTTCAAACTATATATAGTTTTGGGTTTTCTTAAATTATGTGTTTGGTTTTTTCGTTTGCTTGGGATTGTTTGCAGATTTGTTCTATGTTTGTGTTTGAAGTTATGGGATTCCTTGTCTGACATGAATGTTGTAAGCTAATTACTCTTAATTTGAAATATCCTTTATGTTAACTTAGTTGTCTTATTTGTTTTTCTTCTTCCATTACTATTTTTACAAAGGACGCAATACCATGGAGATTGAAGTAAGAAGAGCAATTCTACTAACAATGTAAGTTGCATAAAATCATGGTACTAAATTTTGGTTTTTCATATTTTTGAAAGAATGTTGTTGGAATTTTAACTGAACAAGAAATTAAGTTGATGAACTTGGACCTTCATTTCATCAGAGAGTGAAACCGATAGTCTTGATACGATATATTAACAAAACAAATGCATGCACTTGTGAAACCCTTTGGTTTCAGTCATGATTCATGAATTTCGCAATTTACCATTCGAGGTTAAGAATCTGTCCGGCACGTATGTTGGCTTAGGATCGATATTTCATGTTACATCTTGCACTTGTTCATTGTCCAATACTGATTCCGTCTTCCATGCTTTTTCCGTTTTCATTATTTTTGTACAAGTACGTGCCAGGGAATATGTTTATCTGCATGGATCCGGCCTTGTAGTTTTATTAATAATTATCCAAGTATAAAGCAAACGGGAGTTACAATTTTCAAACTAAGACAAAGAATCCAAGAAAACGCTAAATGTCCCGCTAAAAACCAAGCAATTCCATGTTCAACCAAAGTTGATTCAAGCGTTCTACCTTTAAAGAATGAATAATAGTAGTGTTTTCCTTTTCTTTTTCTTTTGTGTACAAGGGATGGTCAAAAGAAGTGTATCTGGTTTGTTTCTTCTCCTTTTCTTTTCTTTTTCAAGATGGGTAAGCTTCAAATGAGATTCTCTAGGTGCTGGATATGATTACACAATAAAACACAAAATAATATATAATTAGATTTAGAACTCAAAGTCTGGGGAGGAATCAAGGGGCGAAACTTTGCTTTTTGCAAGAACCAATACACTTTCATGCAACAACGAATAAAGCAAACCTGCCCTTGTCTTCATGAGTCGGTTAGGACATAGAAAATAGAACAATTAAGGAAAACAGCTAGTAAAATCCCTTTGATGACGAAAATGTGAGGAAGAAAGCAACGACATTTCACCTTATTTGGGTGGGCAACGAGGGATTATTTGGCGGGGATTTGTTGTACGATGAATAGTATTCGGAGGCAGGGAGTAAGCCCAAGTTCCGAGGTTATATATATTAGAATAAATAATTTAAATCGGATAGCAATGGGGGCTGGATAAATTATAAGTCAAATTATTATTAAAGAGAGATTCATGTTTGAAATTTTAAGGCAAACTTTTTTAAAAGAGGTATTCACGAAGTTTAAACATAAATAGTAAAACATACATAAACTATATTCTAATAACAGTTCCACTATTATAATTATTCAAATCCTATCAAATATAGTTTCATTTTTATTACAGTTTTTAATAACTCGAATCCTAACAAAAGATTCCTTACTTGAGTGCATGGATCCACTCCATGGTCTCCAGAAACCTAGTTTCTCTACAGGTTTCAAGATTGAGATCCAATTATCACCAAACGAGTGTTATAAATCAAGTTCTAATCCAACCTAAGTTGAAGTGTCGGAAAAAAATATAGCTGCTTCGAGCAAAATGACGAACACGAATGTGGCAAAACATAGAATGAAGTTCAAGGTTGACAAGTTTGCACTTGACCAAGCACATCCCTTTTATGGTAACATATATATATATCACTGATGTCCAAGGCTGACAACGTTTGATTTGAATACTACGAACATCACTCGTGTAAAAATTGAGGATGATTATAGTCGCAACATATATAATAATAGTACAAGTTCACATACATGTCAAAGTACAACTTGGCCCTTCTCTTTCCTTCCGCTTTCTTTTCAGAACTTTGATGGTTCTATGAATAATGTATTCTTCCACACAAACAAATGAATAACTTACAGGTTTGATAGGCGATCTTTCATCTCTGAAGCAAAACCGCCGCCTTCAATACAGAAAATGAAACAAGGTGAAAAAGGGGAACAAAAATTAAGGCAAAGAGAAACTCATCTATCAATGGCATATGCCACAGTGGGTGGCTGTGGATGTTGAGTCTCAGACTGAGCATGGGCCTCTGCTAAATGTTGTTGGTCTCCTGCACAGGTGAACCAAAACTGCAGCTGCATTCTCTTTATTCCTTGGAGATCCATTACCAATAACATCTACCAAAATTGGCACTGCCTCTGCTGCTCCTATGGCAGACTTACCCTCCGGATGGCTCGAGAGTATTGCAAGTATGGCCAATGCCTCGTCCAACATTCCACCTCCAGATTCTGTCAACAAACGCATTAAAGTTGGCACAACTCCGGCTCTCACTGTTTTTCCCTTGTTCCCTTGGTAAATGCACAAATTGAAGAGAGCTGTAGCTGCATCCTTTTTGCCCCTTTGTGTGCCTTCGCTTAGCAGTGTCACTAGCGGAATGATTGTTCCCAAGGCACCGATTGTCACCTTATTTTCATCCACTACTGAAAGGATGAAGAGAGCAGCTGCTGCATTCTCTCTAGCTTCTGTGCTACCCTTCTTAAGTACCTGCACTATACCGGGAACTGCTCCAAAGGACATGATACTTCCTTTGTTATCTTCACAAATGGAAAGGTTAAGAAGTGCTGTTACAGCATGTTCTTGGGTCCGTGAATCGGGTGTTGAAAGGAGGGCCACAAGGAGAGGGATGGCCCCAGCTTCAGCAATGGCCACACGGTTAACTGCATTTCGTTTGGCAAGAAGATGGATTTCACCTGCAGCCATTCTTTGGTCTTCAGGACTACAGGATGCAAGCTTACGGAGAAGAATTTCAATCTTGGTACGCTCTGCAGGTGAGCAGGCAGATGTGGTGTTATTGGATTGAGAACTACTGGGTCTTTTGGGTGGTTCAATGCCATTTGCCTCGCACCATTGAGCTATTAGACTACGCAGTACATAATTGGGCGTGAGGGCACAGCTACTGAGGGTCTGTTGCGTCTTTGGACAAGCTCCGTGACCTTGTTCCAGCCATTTCTCAATACAAGAACGTTCATATGTCTACAGAAGAGAGTAATGAAACCTCTTAACAAATACAGCACAAAGGTAATGGTAAACGAGACTTAGGGCACTGCATATATGTGCAATTGTCCAAGCAGGTATTTTCTTACATAAGGTTCAAATAAAAGCCTTTTAGTCATCATTCAATGTTGCAACTTAAAGTCCAGTTACTCCAAGCAATTTAAATAGAGAACAAATATATAACTAGGAGCCTTTCAAGAATTAGCCTTTGGCAAAATAAATGAATGGCATGATAATGTGATATGATGCAATATCATCAAGCAAATTTGTGCATTCACAGACAAAAAAGGAAGGGAGAGTCCAAGGCTGAAAATTATTAAAATTTTAAAAGAGAAAAATATGGCTCTATCATGAGAAAGAAATCTACAACAAATATACCTGCCCTGTTGAAACAATGACAGGATCTTTCATCAGCTCCAAGGATATTGGACAGCGGAAATCATCCGGTATAACCGGAGTCTTGGGATCTCCATCAGTGGTCGCTTGACCACTACTACTAGGAGGAAGATTCTTTTCACTTGCAAAAGCATCCAAATTAGGGTTTTCGGTCTGTACAAAATCCTTGATTTTCTTTAATAAGTTTAAAATCTTCTCAAATGTTTCCCCAGGATCTCCAACACTGGCAGAAAGCATCTCATGTAGTTCTAGTGATTCTTGCATAAGTTCAGCTATCCCCACCAATTGTAACTTCTTGGCTAATCTCCTTAGTCCATCTGGATCTACTGCTGCATCACTACTCTTATTGTAGAGTGATAATAGATCCTCATATAGTTCAACATCTGCGGCATCAACCCTTCCTTTAGCTCTCCTGAACTAAACTAGAACAAGTTGCACCTAAAGATAGAAATATTCAACACATAAAGCCCTTTTTAATAAACAAAATTATGTAAGAAATTGAGTAACGTTAAGTTGCTTTAGGGCTTTCAAACTCTAGTTTAATAGTGTTGAGAGCAGGGTAGTTTTGGTTGCTCATTTGACCATCTCCATGCTTATTTCTATCCATACCATAGTCCGTTCCCTAAATCATATGCAACTCCATTAAAACTCAATCATGATTATAGAGATAGCTTGAGGAACTTTCTTCCATGGTAAGATTGCTGGAATTCAAGTATGACAAAGCAAGATGAAGAATCTACAGTGGAATTCTTTGAAGAATGTTTCTACCGAATGAGCTATACCTGTTCCTTAACTTCATCTGATATGTCAAGATTCTCATAGGGAATTCCACTCAAAGCTTGCTCAACCCGAGCTGTCACTTCATGAAATTTATGCAAAATCCGATCTCTCTAAAACCTTTAAACAGAATAAAAAGAGTTTATTAGTCAATAGCCAAATGCAGCGCAACATGTTACCACTTTGGGCTAGAAATTGTTACTTAAAGCAGAACCTGAGTTTCAAACAGTTATTTTAGAAGTAAATAGATCTAGCAAAAATTAGCAATGTACAATAATACTGATTCAAACAAATATTATAGAAATGCCTTCCACTATAAGCTCATGGCCGCCATCCATTACTAATTATACAGTAAGCAAATATTATAATAATGCAATCATTGGCCATTTTTAAAGATTGTTTTTGAGACTGTAATTTCTTTAACCACAACCTAAAGTACACATGGTGTTGTAATACAATTCCACACCGGATGAACAAAGAGAGATACAGTAGCATTTAATATGGCATAGAGCTTGAAAATTCAATGACTATGACAACTCAATTAAGTATAATTGCTTCTGTTGAATCACTAAAAAAATTGTAGCACTAAAACAAGAAACTTAGGGGTCATATATCAGGCATGCTACTAACCACCACCTCCCGGCTCCCAGCCCCTTCTATCTCTCCCACCTCCATCACTCACTCTCAATTTTACAACCTCAAAAGAACTTCCTGAAATGAAGCAGGTAACACTATGGATATGGAAACAATTCTTCACAATCAGAATGAAAGAGTCAATCCGTCCGGTGGTAAAATATCCTTCATTTTCACAGGCTTCCGAGCAAAGTATGATGGCAATTACAGTTAGGATGATGACACTACTTAGGTTCAAAACCTTATACCTACAATCATAAAAACAGAAGCTGAATTGAGCATGTCAAACATGACATAATGTAATTCCTTAATTATATACCATAGTTAGAACTAATGGGAAACAAAAAAGAGGATCAAGAAGGTTAAATTATATGAATGATTCAGATTTGAAAACAATCCAGACAGAAAGGGACAATCCCAAAATTTAATCAACAACGTTATGTCATTTTTTAATGTAAAATCTGTCGCAGGAGTAAGTATGCTGCTTTAGCCTTGTATTTATCGATGACTATGACGCTTGAATATCTTTGAGATGAGAACTTGTCGTTTAATTTGAAAGCGCAAAAGTACCTTATAAAATAAGAAATTGGATGATGTTGTCGCTAAAATATTTACTGAATAGGCTTTAGTGGTTTTTTCCGTTTTCATTTTTTTACATAATTAATTATAACAAAGAAAAATGGGGCACTAAATATCATATCAATTTTCAATTTTCAGCTAGATTAAGCTAAATGTAAGCCCAATATTTTATCAATTGATTTTAGATAATGTTATGGTGAGAAATATTCTGATTAAGTGATTATCTGCACGCACTTGACTACCTAGTTTTCCGTCATTTTCTCAGCAGCCAAACAGATTCAAAAGAAATCCAAAAACAATACTCACACACCAGGTAAATCTTGCTGCCTTCTCTGCCGAGTCTGAGACACTCCTTAGCCGAAATCAAAGCTTTTTTCAACGAGACCAACGCTTTAACAATTTCTTCTGGGATTTGCTCTTTGCTCTCTCTAATCTCCTCGAACATTGGTGTCAGCAGCTTCAGTCTCCTAGCGAGATTGCAAAACTCCCTCTCGGCGCATCTGTAATCTCCGATAGGAGCTATTTGGTTCACCGCATCGATCAAACTCTGCACAAGCTCTCCTTTCTCTTCTTCCATTCCGAAATCTAGATCTTGATAAACCGCAGCGTTTTCAAATTTGAAGGCTCTGATTCGAAGGCAGATTCAGATAAGTTTTCGAAAGCTAAAATGAGGGAGTACTCGTCCCCATTAGAGAGAACTTTGATGGTAGAGAGAAGATAATTTTTAGGTAAAGTCATTCATGAGTAAGTTTTACTTTTCATAATTTATGTTTAAAAAATTATAAATCTGTTATTAACGTTATCGATTATTATAAATTAATCACTCAATGTTAACAGTATGGTATCGTACAGAAAGCTGACAGAGTGTTAACCGCTGATTTTTCACTATTTCGACATTATTTTAACATATCCTCCTCTTCTATCTTCACGCTCTCATCTCAATACTTCTTTTTAACTCAAAGCCTACCATTTTCATTATCATTAGTCTTTCTTTTTCAATCTTCATCTTAACAATGAACCAAGTTGTCTAGCCCTTTGATACATGAGGATTCGGTAAAATTATTGTTCTCTCTCAATCTTCATCTGCTTGTCTCAATCATGGATAAGAAGAAATCTAAAGAAAATCTAAATTGGGTCCTTTATATGGCAGTGTTGAAAGTTTAGGTCTTGATGCAAAAAACAAATTAAGCTATGAAAATAAAGGAACACCCAAATGGCTAAAAGTCCAAGATGTGACAAGGAAGAAAAGGAAGAGAGATCAGGTGGAGAAAGAGTATGAGGAAAGGAAATATGGGATGGCGGTGGTGGCAACGGAAGCGTCAGGTACAGAGGGGGAGGTGATTGTGGGGAAGAAGAGGAAGAAGCCGGAGGACGTTGAGGTGAAGCTGCAACTGGTATGGCATTTTACCTTGCAATTCGTTGCGAAAATCGCTGAAATGGAAAGCTCTGGATGAATACAATTCCGGGTCAGGTTAGAACGGTTGTAACCAAATTGTCGCCCTGCAAGTTTGCATTGAAACAACAACAAAGCTTACAAGGTCCATATATACAAATACCGAGTGTAGAAATATACTAACTGAAAACGGCTTACCCCGAACACTGCTCTTCTTATTGGAATATTGTATTTGATTTGAACGATGGAAGTAGTAAATGCCACAATGCATGACATATCAACTACCAATACCTCTCCCACCTCAAGATTTTTCTGCACAACTAACAAAAGAAAGAAGCCCACGAAATCCCAATGGTCAAATACCTATGCATACAAATTCATAACTTCAATAGTTTGCTGCATGTAACAAAAGGAATATGCTATCAACGATTGGTTAAGGAATAAAGAGTTCCTCCCTTTTTTATATTAACATTTTTGGAATAGAATACAATAACAAGAAGTTCGTAATAAAATAAAAAAATAAGGAAAATAAAACATGGTCCTTCATGACCTGTAATGTGCTATCTTTCGAATTCAAGCAACTCAAAAGATGTACAAAAATTAATACCAGGTGAAGATGAAGATTGAAGAAGAAAGACTAACGAAAATGGTGAGTTTTGAGTTAAAAAAAAGTATGGAGGTGAGAGAGTGGAAATGGAAGAGAAAGGAAGATCAAAATAATGGTGAGTTTTGGTTAACATGCCATGTCAGCTTTTCGTCTCTTATAGTAACGGCGGTTAACGTCGAGTGACCAATTTGTAACAATCGATAACGTTAATGATTGATTTGTGACTTTTGAAATATTAGTGGTGAAAACAAAAATTTACTCAAACATTAGTGACCATTTATATAATTTATCCTAATTTTTTACGCATACTAGACCTTTTTCTTCAACCAACGCGGTAGTGAGGTGAACCGGACCGATTTGAAAAACGAAATGAGATAGAACTTATAATTATAATTTATTTATTTTTATTAATCTGACTAACTATAAGATAATATCTATCAAATATAACTCTTAACCATTTAACATTTGATAAGTGCATTTGATAGCTAAAAAATATTTTTTTTAAATATTTTTTTTATCTTTTTATATTTGATAGTTGAAAAACATTTGGAACATTTTTCGAAAAATATTTTAAGTGTATAGTTGTAATTGATTTTATGAAAAATATTTTGTAATGTTGAATAGTTATTGGTTTTTCTCGTAATTCATTTTTTAGTTCTTGATAAAAGTTTGAGAGATATTCTTCTGTTTGTCAGCCATGAAAGAGATACTAAAAGAGTTCTCAATTTCTAAGTCAGTTCTTAAAATATCTAGACAGAATAACATTTTCATTAACATTCTATTTTTAAAAAAAAAATTGTTGAATTTTGGTTATATTCTCCTGGGTGGCCCAAGTAGAAAGACTAGGAAAGGAAGCAGCCCTATAAGGTAACAAATAGGATGTGGTGGAAGGTGTTTCGTTTAGAATTGAGGCCTTAGATCATCATGCACGGCTCTAGGCTTTCAAGGCTTTAGCCCAAGTTTGTATGTAATGCCATGAAGGTTTCCCGACTGAGTTATCAATGTGGGAACTGCATTCAAATATAGATTAATATTGGGTGCATAGAGAATCCATTAAGTGATCTAAAGGGATTATTATCTTCTTTACAAGTCTTGAGTTCAAACAGTAGATGCCTACGGATATATGTACGTTGCTTACAACAACATCAATTTTGGAAAACTTTAACAAGAAAAACATGACAGTAGTCAAAAACAAACAGTTGCGTTATTTGTGAAAATTAATACTAAAATTCAGCCAAAGGATGCTTAACCTTTTACCAAACGAAATTAATCAAACTCTTTTACCCTTCAAAGATGTAATCATCTTAATTGCTACAACTGCTCAGCGTACATCGGTTATTCAAATCATCAAAAATGCACTTATCCTAAGCCCGTGATCAAAGCTTAAATCTATCTTAATCACTAGTCATTTCTTGGGGAAAAATTAATTAAAAAAAAATGCAATAAAACCGTTCGCTTGAAGAAACCGTGTATATATCATATGGACCCCCTACATGAATCATTGGTAATAATTTGGAAACATCTAACTAGAATCCAAAGTCAAACCAGTGGTTAGGTGTTGCAAACTCTTAAAGAGCTTGGATAAGAAAAATATCTGCAGATATTAGGAATTAATGATTTTATTTTCTATCAGGAAACTTATGGATAATAGTGTATATACTTTTTTTATTAAAAGATAATGTATATTTGAATAGGTAAAGCTGGTTAACTCTAAAGTATTGAATCAATGAATGTAAACAGATTGACCAGGTAGCCGTGAGAATAATCAGTTTGATGGCAGCCATTGACAATATGACATATTTTCGGTTCAATCTTGTTATAAAATATTAATTAAATAAATAAAAAGATGACATCCTTGATTTATGGTACGGATCATGAAATTTCTACATTCGGTGGTTAATTAAAATGCATTTTATTCAAAGTCCAGACTAGGAGGTTTCTCTGGCTTATAAACAGACATACATTATAGATAAATATACACCGGTATTAGGTTTACATGCATTCTCTTTATTGTACGCATATGAAAAGGTCAATTAAACGTATATAGTCTTGTCTTCTTTGATGGTAGGCAAAAGGTCACCGTCTCCTCTATATCCACAATTCCACATTTTCAAGCACAAAAGAAACACATCAAACAACGTACAAGCGCACCCAAAAAATATCTTAAAATGTTACTATTTTTTTCTTTTAATGCTTTGGGTCATAATGATTCTAACTTGGAAACACATATTTTTTTTTGAATTAATCACTGATATCTGATTTATTGAAAAATTAATCCAGATTGAATACTGTATAGGCGAGAGTGACCCTCCCAACCCAATTTGTTTTATTTGCAAAAATATATAAAGCAAATTTGTAAAGACGGTTAAAAGTAATAAGAAATCTCCCAATTATATCTATCATAATTCCTTTTGTTTCACTTAAGCTTATCATCAAAGAGGATCTGATACCATTTTTGTTAATAAGTTGGCTTCATCACTACACCGTTTTTAGATTAGTTCCAAATGCCTTGATCAATACACGATTAATACTTTGCTTCGGCCTTGACATCAACCCCTAGGTTCCAAATGTTTGGCAATGTTAAACAAGTTTATGCTTTTAAAATATTTGGTTAATCCCAAACTTTCAATTTTTCCCTTTAAAAAACTAGGATTTTTGTATCTATTTTATGTCAAAAATCACGACCCTTCTTCTAAAATTTCCAGTTCTATTTATTGGTATTAACCAATATATTACTATTGATATCACGTCTCCTTTTATGACACTTGATAAAAAAAATATTCAAAGGGATGAGGGAAATCAAATCCCCTTCTTGGAATGTTTTCTTTAGGCTGCTTTTGCTTTTTAGGCAAAAAAGAATGCTTAAACCATACAAAATGTACATTCCCTTTTAAGGAATTTAGGCTTTCCACCAAATTTTAAAACTTCAATTTCCTATACGCAAATTTACCTTCTTTTTGTGTTGCCTTTCAATTTTCAAGAAAAACAATTACGTAACGAAGTTTTTTTCCCGGGGATAAAACGCCGTCGTTTCTGTAGTCTTTAGGCGCTGTTACTGTCGATTTGGTCTATGATAATAGGAGGAAATTGACTTGAGTACTTGACTGTAAGCAGTGGACCAAAGTGACTATGAATAAAAGTCAAAAAAATAAAATTTTACGAAAGGGGTACTTTTGGGAAGAAAACCTTAACTTTGTTTACTTGTTGCAAATTTATTGGCTAAACGTTTCACTTTTGTTGACATCCTCCCCATTTTACCCTTCAAAATCGTACGGCTAATGCCTCCTGACAAAAGTAATCCACGGCTGAGGTCTTCCGTTAGGATTTTCCATACAAAAATCTAATTTGACCCGAAAAGTAAATATTATAACCGGATAACTTCCTGACGACTGCGTTCCGGTAGCTGAAACGGGCAGACAAAATCTCCAACATTTATAAAAAAGAAAAACTAAAAATTAAAGTTACTCTCTTTTGAAGACAAATACTTTGGATATGAATATTTTTTGCTAAATTAAGCAAGAGGCTATACAACCACCTACCAACGCCACCAGCGAAGGGCGTCGCCGACGAAGGTGGTGAAAGTGTAGAGAAAGTGCAAGGCCCTTTTTTCTATTTAGAAAGATGGGTCAAGGACTGAGTTGTGGAAAGAGTCCAGAGAATGTATTGTTTAGTGCAGTTCAAGTTGGAGACCTTGAAACTGTGGAAGCTTTATTAGAGAGAGAATCAAATCTTTTACATCATAGAACTGTTTATGATCGCCATTCTGCTCTTCATATAGCTGCTGCTTATGGCCAGATCGAGGTCGGTATTCCTTTTCCAAGTTTTTGAAGATAACTTTTTGGATTAAGTTCTTCTTTTTAACTTCATTTACCATGGTTTTGAGTCGTTGGAACCATATTTGGTTTCATTTGCGCGATGGGAGGATGATTTCTTTTTGTTTTTGTTAGATTTTGGCTATGCTTTTGGAGAAATCCGTGAACCCGGATGTAGTGAATCGTCGAAAGCAGGTCATTTTAATTTTTAAGTTTTGATCCTTCTTTTTGTTGATATATTTTTTTTACTTTTTTTTTACCATTTTTTATTGTTTGTAGACTCCACTTATGTTGGCTGCAATGCATGGGAATATCTCCTGCGTGAAGAAGCTCATTGAAGATGGGGCAAATGTGAGCCATTTTCCCATTTCTATTATTTTTAAGGTTGCAATTTAATGCATTATGCGTTTTGGAAATGTAGTTTGATTTGAATGATTTGTTATATGCTTTTCAGATCTTAAAGTTCGATTCCATTCATGGAAGAACTTGCTTGCACTATGCAGCCTATTATGGTCATTCCGGCTGCCTTAAAGCGATCCTCTCTGCCGCTCAATCTAGCCCTGTTGCTGTTTCATGGTGTGTGTGTGTTTCCTTAATCAAGATTGTATAATACTATTCCCCCCCCCCCCAAGCTATTACAAATTAATTCAGGCCATTGATCTCAGTTTTTAGTTAATCTTATATGTTTGGATCGGTTTTGATATCAGGGGATATGCACGTTTTGTGAATATAAGAGATGCCAAGGGTGCTACTCCCTTGCACTTGGCCGCTCGTCAAAGGCGGTCTGAATGCGTACATATCCTGTTAGACAATGGTGCTCTCGTTTGTGCCTCAACCAGTGGATACGTGTAATAATTCCTGCAAATTCTTGTTTATACTTGATTTTGTTGTTGTGTACGTATAGGTCTTTTAATGATACGAGTGACTGATTTTTGTTTCCTTCAGTTGTCCTGGAAGCACACCTCTTCATTTAGCTGCTAGAGGGGGATCTCTCGATTGTGTCCGCAAGTTGTTGGCATGGGGTGCAGATCGTCTTCAAAGAGATGCAGCCGGGTATTGTTTGATTTCGTTTTATGTATATGGATTCCTGAGTTATTATCTTATCGAAGATCTTTCTTCCTTGATGTTCTGCATTGCAAGCGATTCCTGAGTTATTTCTCATTAAATTGTTAGCCAATCTATTTGTACTACACGGTTTTATGTTCATGTGGAGGGGATCCGTTTTCTTACCATGTATGATATCATTGATGCCTAATTATTTCGGCCCTAAATTTCAAGTTTCTGTATGTTTGCAGGCGAATACCATATGTAGTTGCTTTAAAGCAAAGACATGGAGCATGTGCAGCCCTGCTAAATCCTTCATCGGCAGAACCTATTGTATGGCCAGCACCTTTAAAATTCATAAGCGAGCTTAACGAGGAGGCGAAGACACTATTAGAACAAGCCTTAATGGAGGCAAACCGGGAAAGGGAAAAGAGCATCCTGAAGGGAACGACTTACATAATTGTATCACCCTCACATTCCGACTCCGGGTTAGATGACATTATTTCCGAGGTAAAATATCGGATGCCTTCCTTAAAAGTTTGTTTTGCTTTTTCTTTCACATTTCTAACTTCAGCCAAATCCAGTTCACAATAGTCCAGTTTTCGTTCAAAGAGTTTTCCCTGTTGGTAGTTAAGACTACGATGATGAGTAACATGTGTATAAATATAAATCATTTCTCTGTTCGATATCCCTACTATTTTAACTCGTTACGGCATCGATGGCTTTAATTCCTGTCCTGGGAGCCTAGTTTTCTTTATGATCATATCTGTACTCTGTAGACTTGCCCTTGACCCTTGGTTTCAGTTGTGATGGTCGCACCAAGTAGTTCGGTCCCCATCAAACCGAGATGCTATACAAAGTCACGAGTTTTATGGCCTTAGCAATTCACAGCCTAGCCTTTTTTACTTTAGAATGCTCTAAAACCTATATTAGGTCACGGTAATCCATTTTGGTATAACCCTAAGATTTACCGCTTGGCTGCTAGGTTTTTGTGATGTGAATAATTTTTGAAGGACTTTATTTTCGTTTAGTACGTGAACTATTTATAACATTAATATTCGCCTGGAAATATTCGATATAGGCTAGTGATACCGAACTATGCTGCATATGCTTCGAACAAATCTGCACAATTGAAGTTGAAGATTGCGGTCACCAGATGTGTGCACAATGCACACTGGCCCTGTGTTGTCACAACAAGCCAAACCCCACAACTGCAAGTGTAACACCCCCTGTATGCCCCTTTTGCCGTAGCACCATCGTCCGATTGGTGGTAGCCAAGGTAAAGAATCACGCGAAGGAAGCAGCAGCTTCAAGAGTTTATCAGCCGTTGGTTCGTTTAGCAAGATCGGTGGGCTAGGGTCCGGAAGGGTCGCCGCTGAAAACGAATGGGTGGATAAACCTTGAAAAATAATGGCAGTTGGAAGTATCCCATATTTGTTATACATGTTAGATAGAGGTTATGTAGATTTTGAGGGAAAATAATTAAAGAAATGAGTTGCAGGTTGAAATTGGTAAGTTTGATAAAAAGCTTCATTGGCTCCTATATTTGTTGTGATTTTTGGATAAACCTTGAAAAATAATGCAGTTGGAAGTATCCCATATTTGTTATACATGTTAGATAGAGGTTATGTAGATTTTGAGGGAAAATAATTAAAGAAATGAGTTGCAGGTTGAAATTGGTAAGTTTGATAAAAAGCTTCATTGGCTCCTATATTTGTTGTGATTTTTTAAAAACAATTTGACCAACACACTATTACATGTTCTACTATTGTATTATCAGATCAAACGGCTGCCTATGGTGTAAATTGTAAAACATATGTTAGTGTAATGTCGAATAAAATTTTAAATTAAAGAGAATAACCTTAATTTGTGACCCATTAATGAATTTTGGATGCGGAGAAGTTGAAGTAGATAACAGCAGTAGGGCCGATGTGGGACGTACACCTAATTAAGAAAAAGGGTCCATTTGTTGTTGGTATTCTGGTGGATCTTTTGTTTTTATTCTCGTGTCTTGTGTGGACAAGTACCAATTTACCAACTTGTTTATTATGGGTCATGGGTTCATGGATGATGATGAATAGAAGGCATGACCCATGGCCATAGTCAACCAACTCCATTCAGTGATTTTTCTTTTCTTTTCAAGCTCTAATCACCCCCAAAAGAAACTTTCTTTCAGAGAAAAAGACATGTTCAACCTACAAGATTTTGGTTTTGCGTATGTATTTTTTATTACAACTTACAATTATATTAATAAAATCATAAAAATTTGAAAAAGATGAAAACTCTAGAAAAGCTTTTGGGTTGTAAAAACAAATTCTAAAGAATAAGGACAAAGTAAAGATTAATAGAAGAGAATGTTATAGTCTTCCTAAATAAAAAATTTAATAACGAGAACTAGATTTTATTAATAAAATTAATAGAATAAAAAATCATAATTACAACACACCTAAAAAGAAAAATGGGGACAATAATAAAAAACTATTAAAAATAAAAATATTAAATTCAAAGATATGAAAAAAAGTGAAGCATTCCTTTGATAGTAACAATTAACATCAAAAGAATACATTAATATTCATAAAAAATCATTGTCTCTGTCGAACGAGACGTTTTATGAAGTGATAAAGGAGTGGTGAGCAAACCAAACTATCTGACAAGCTGCTTCGCTACACAACTCTGATTATATCGACAAACAACCTTTTAACAAAGAGGGGATCTAACTATACGTGACCACCGACAAACCAATAAGAACATAAATATCGTGAGTGTCTTTGTGCGAGCACCAAAACAACCTAAAAGGTAGATGAAAAGCGTACCAAAATCCATAAGGATCGTGTCATAAGACTCGAGAGCAGGAGAAAAGAATGTCATAATAGATAACGATTCTTATTTAAAATTAAAAAAGTTCAAGAAAAAAAGGAAACAAAAGACATAGTATGAAAAAAAAAGAATTAATAATCACCAGTAATTGAAAATTAATATTAATATTAGTATTGTTTTAATTCTAAATAAAAATATCATTTAAATTTTTTATTTTATAAAAAATATAATTTAATTATATTTTTATTAAAATTAAAATTAAATTTTAATAAAGGATTAATTGTGGATAGACCAATATGCTTTTAAATATTTCTTTAATAAGGACGATTTAATTAACGGTGTGCATTAGTGTGTTACTTTAATAATATCCATTGTAGAATTCTTCCTAATTTGCTATCTAATTTTTTTAATGATGTAATTAGACATATAACTTTTTTCTATAATTAGGTATTGAAGTTTCTTTTTGTGCAATTAGATATCTTTTTTAATGATACATGTTTAATTGGATATCTAATTATGTTGTTTAGTTAACATACTAATATGTGTTATAAATTCAAAAGTATGGACACATATAATTTTTAAAAAAATATTTTAGATGTCTAATTGCACAAAAAAAGTTAAATACCTAATTACACTAAAAAATTAGATATTTAATTACAAAAAAATTGGATACCAAATTGCACATCAATGCAAAATATAAATACCAAAACATTATATTAACCCTAAAATAAAATTAAAAAAAAAGTCATAATCAACACTTGGACTAAACCCGCAAGTGAATTGAAGTAAACAAGTTTGGGTCAGGCAAAACTGATTATTGAAGCCTCCAAATGGCCTTGCTGGAGATGAACTTGAGTCTTGACCCTATATAGGCCATGGGGCTTGGCCGGATGCTGTTGGCACACACTCCAAGAGGGAGTCCATTTCTCTTCTAAAAGCTGAAACAAGAAACAAAATGAAGAAATCACAAAGGAAACAACATTAATCCTTCCTAAAACATATACTAAAACTCCATGATTAGAGGGAGGGCTGTCCACACATGCAAGAAAAAGGTACTGAAAATCCATAACCGTTATCATCAGCTGCAGCATGAGAAAAGAACTTGTTCGAGGAGGAGCAACGCTGCCATTATCAAACAATGAGTTCGGCTCTAAATTAGGCCGAGCCAAAGCAAATTCATCTGGTCCATAGACTGTAACACCCCCAACCCGTACCCGACCCGAATACGAGTCCGAGGTGTCACATTGACCGTTCAAAACGTTTACTTTGTCAAAATCCAATGAAATTCGGTTAAACATTTCCAATAAAATCCAAATAATTTCTATTGTATAAAACGTATAGTTTTACAAATTGATCAGAGCGTTTCCAGTACAAATCTTTTATCTTACATGCCAACTACATTTCATATGATAAAATACATAATTTAAACCTATTTCTGATCTGAATTGTGGAAAGGAGAATCTGACATGTCTTGCTCCTCTAAACTTCTCTTCTAAGTCTATGACTTAGTGAGGCATTAAACACATTAAAGTAACTCTAACTACTTAATCATGCATGAACATATCATATCATATCATATCATATCATGCTATCACACAAAACAATATAGTATTTCATGTAATCAAATGTACACATATACACATCATTCATCCTTTCCACCATTAGCCTTATTCTATTACCCATACTATTATCAATTATATCCTTTAATCATACATTTTTATCAACATATGACTCATTCAAACCATACACACATCATCATATCAATCATATAATACAATTCATATCACAAAAGCATATACTTTACATGTAATATATATATTTATTGTTATCTCTTTGTTAGCCCATGTACATCTGTGAGAACTGTAGATATGTGAGTCTATTGAGGTTGTGCACTATACTGTCACCACAGCTCGTATGGGGTCCCACTAGGGGCTATGAATTTTGTCCCGAATGACCACTCCTTAAGAACCATATACATATTCCAATGGATCACATATGTGTCTCTCACAAGACCCTGTAAATGTTCCAAAGAATATATATGTCCCGAAGGACCACGTAGAACCCTCGACTCTTGGCATGCCAACTATACCTCTAGCTCTCTTTATACATAACATGGGCATTAACAATCTATCATGTCACATATTCACATGTACACTTCCATATCACATGTCATATAAGCTCATAGCTTCTTTCACATATACATGTAGTCACATAGCTTCTTTTCATATTCTCATAGGATTACATAGCTTATATCTTATACTTTATTTTCTCATGTTCACATATATCATGTCATATGACTTATATATATACATCACATAACACATACTTCTCATATCATTACATTCAAAAGCATGTTAACACATATAATCATGCATACATACAATTCATGTCATGCATATACGTATAATCATATATTCATGCATTCTAACATAGGAAACAGACTTGTCACAAGTCTTGTTTCCATTTAGCACCATAAACTAACTAATATGCACTCACCTTGGCCTCACTAAGTTCCAATCCATTTTTATAATTTCCTCTCTTGCAATCGAATCATAACTCGATAATCATTCTGGGACTTGTTCGTGCTCGATATCTATATAATCATACATTGATACATATTAGTATCCAATTGATATACTCTAATCTATCATTTCTTAGACCAAAAGAAAGGTTTATTTCTATTTTCCCTTGAAGTGCATCGATGCATTCTACAGTGTATCGATGCATCCCTTAACATGTGCATCGATGCACTCCTTATGCATCGATGCACTAATTGCATTCGATGTTTCCATTTTTAAGGGGTGCATCGATGCACTTCCTGTGCATTGATACACACTAAACAAATTTCTGGAAATTTTCCCTTGATGCATCGGTACACATTGAATGTGCATCGATGCACATAACCCAGAATTCATTTTTAAGCCCGAAAATCACTCCAATTCTACCTAAACACTTCATATTACATCCTCTACCATATTCTTAACTCTCATATACATACTTAAACTCATTTCTACTCCTTTATCACCCTTTAAATCTCAAAATTCCTTTCTCCATATAGAAATCAATAATCATACCAATTTTTCAATATGTTCTTAATTCAATTGTATCACTTCATATCTCTTAATTAAGTTGATGACAAGTCAAATTTATCTTCCAATTTGAGTAATGAACTCTATTCCAAGATTTTATTTGAAAACTCTTAATCTTTAATCACTTCATATCCTTTGCTTTTAAAATGATTTAAGCTTTCTTTAAGCTTAATTATCATCTAATGATCATAACCCAACCTTAAAATCAACAATTAATCAACAAACAAAGAAACTCACCTTTGAGCTTGGAGATACGGGAGGAGGAAGAAGAAGAAAGAAAACTTCTGGAGAATTCTCTCATTTCCTACGAGATTCCTTTATCTTATAAAGGAAAATAAAAATCTTACTTGTCAATTGACCATTTTACCCTTTACTTCATTCCATAATTACTAAATAACCTTCATCATATATTTCCAATAAATCATTGAACTATTCAATTATCCTATTTTAATCACCAATTTCTGAAATTTTTCAATCTAGTCACTAACCCGATATTGAGGATGTTACATAGACAGTAGTAGTAGTAAGACTCTGATTAATCCTTCCATATTCATTGGCCACCCTCTTTTTCACCTCGACAAAGTAGCTGATCGAGTGATGGCACATTGTTTGCTTCAACATTCTAACCATCATTAC